ATGTTACAAATTTGAAGAAATACATTGAAGCTTGTGATTGTGGATAGAAGCAATAAGAAAACCTACATTATTACTGATGTGAAAAAGGCAACAGGACAGTAGCTTACTGAAGAAATTAACATGAAAAAAATAACAAGAAATCCAAATAATGTTTTAAAGTAAAAAATCACATTACATTTACAATTCATTCTAGAGAATGAAAATATCACAAAAGAAACCAAAAGTAATAAATACCTTGATGTATTCATTCATTAAAAGTATTTATAGAATTATTTTGATTGGTCCATGCAACAGGAAGCCTACTTTTCACATTAATGATGCAATAAACAAAATTCAGTATATTGCAATACCATTGCAAAATTACTTCGCTTGTGTATTAAAGCACCCTCCACAATAATTGGCACCCCTTGTAAATGTTTGTAAGAAAAAGGGTTAGAAAAAAATCTACCTTTCAGTGAAGTAGCTTCATCTCACACTGAAAAAATAAGAAAAATCCAACCTTTCTTTAAAATAAATTTATTCAAAGAAAAACAAATCCTTCGTCAAGAAATAATTATTTTCAATAAAAACACATGTGCCACAATTATTGGCACCCCTGCATTTAATACTTTGTACAACCTTCCTTTGCCAATATAACAGCACTGAGTCTTCTCCTATAGCATTTTATAAAGTTGGAGAATATCAAGCAGAGCATCTGAGACCATTCCTCTTTACAGAATCTCTCCAGATCACCCAGGGTCCTCGGCCCTCTGTTCTGCACTCTCCTCTTCAGCTCAGCCACAGGTTTTCAGTGGGGTTCAGGTCAGAGGACTGAGATGGCCATGGCAGAAGCTTGATTCTGTTAATTAGCTAACCATTTTTGCATTGATTTGGACAGATGCTTAGGATGATTGTCCTGCTGGAAGATCCAGTGACGGCCCAGTTTTAGTTTCCTGACGCAGGCAGCAAAATTTTGATTTAAAATATCCTGACATTTCATGGAGTTTATAATGCCATGTACCATAACAAAGTTTCCAGGGCCTTTGGTGGAAAAACAGCCACACAACATCACAGAACCTCCAGCATATTTTACAGCTGGGATGAGGTTCTTTTCATTATATCCATCCTTCTTTTTACACCAAACCCACCTTGAATGTTTATTACCAAAAAGCTCCATTTTTGTTTCATCAGACCATTGAATTTTGGTTCCAGTCAAAGTTGTAATAGTCTTTTGCAAACTCCAGGTGTTTACGTTTGTGGCTAACTGACAAAGAAAGCTTTTGTTCTGGCATTCCATCCAAATAATCCGTTAGAATGAATGTGGTGTCTGACAGTTTTTTTTCGGAGACGTGGTAACCCCAAGATTTTACTTTGTCTTGTAATTCACCACCAGTGATCCTTGTTTTGTAACAATTCCAGTTGTCTACTTTTTTATTATTTCTGTAACAGTATAAATAGACATTTTCATGCGAGTTGCCATTTTTCATACCCATTCCCTGACTTATGAAGGTCAACACACTTCTCCCTCATTTGGTTCTTATGTTCTCTTATCTTTACCATGTTAATGGATGACTAAGGGAATTTGGCCTCTGTGTCTCCTCATGTTTGTACCCCAGTTAATCAGGAAGTCATGGATGACAACTTAAAGGTTCCTTTTCACTCCAATCAGCTAGAAGATGTACAATTTACAGGGGAAACATTCTTCAGTTACATGCTGTTCACTATAATTCCCAGGGGTGCCAATAATAGTGGCACATGTGTTTTTGTTAAAAATAATTATTTCTTGATGAAGGATTTGTTTTCCTTTGAATAAATTTATTTCAAAGAAAGGTTGGATTTTTCTAATTTTTTCAGTGTGAGATGAAGCTACTTCACTGAAAGGTAGATTTTTTCTAACCCTTTTTACAAACCTTTACAAGGGGTGCCAATAATTGTGGAGGGAGTTGTGCATGCAATATATCCAAATGAATAACGCAGAGTATTGAGGCGGGTACAGTGAAAGCTTTGTTTGGATATCTGCTTTTTCACGTTTAACTGGTCTTGTCAGTACTTGCCATTACAGACTAAAGAAAAGCTTAAAAGGCAGACAGAGCACACCAACCACCAGAGATATTGGAGATCATCTCAGGTAATACTCCTCTGTTCAGATCCACGCGTTAAAAAAGCACTTAAAATAGTGACTTAAAGTACAATGGCAGTACAATGGAACTTGAGGTTCGGAATTGTCCTCATTGGTGATTCAGCAGTGGGGAAATCATCTCTTCTACAACGCTATACTGAAGGGACGTTTGAAGAGGCCAGTTTGAGTCCATTGGGAATTGATTTTAAAGTCCAGTACCTTGACTTTGACCCTGGTATCCTGATCAAGCTGCTTCTCTGGGACACAGCGGGGCAAGAGAGATTCCAGTAAGTACTGTAGCTGTCTGGCAGCATGCTGTCGATAACCTACATATTATCTACATATACTCTTATATAGTATTTAATAAGCACAGCCATGGAAAAAATTAAAAGACCACAGCACAGTTTTTTGTTTCACTCATTTTTCAATTTAGGGGTGTGCATCTATGAATTATATATATGTATGTATATGTATACATACACACACACACCTGCACTTAATGTTTCCCATACCTTTGGAAGGTCACCTCTGGCATTAGAAAGCCAATGCTTTATATTAAATCATGATATCAAATTTATAAATCCATCCATCCATCTTCCAAACACTGGTCAGGGTTGCAGGGACCCCTAAAGGCTATTTCGGGCAGCACAGGGCACAAGGCTTGGGTCCACCATGGACGGGACAACAGTGGAATCACTGTTGTACAACATTAGACATTGTCTGGTAGCTCAGCCCAGCTGCACTTAGGCCTAGTTCATACCTTAACAGCCATATGTTTGTACTGTGATACTTGCTTGATTCTCACATCACTTTGGACAAAAGCATCTGCAAAATATATAAATGCGAATGTAGTTTTTCATGTGCAGATTTAAGATTAGCATCCTCGTTATAGTTACATAAAAACATAAAAACGCCCCAAATGTTACTACTTTTATGTCCTTGCTAAAAACATTCTCTTCTTTTACATTATTTATGCAACCGGCACTTTCCCACTTTTAATGTTTTTAAATGTTTTGTGTTCTTTTTCTTTTAATTTTTAATTGTCATATTTTATGTCCATTTAACTCTATGCATTTTATTTCTCAATTCATTTTCTGTAAATCACTTTGATTGACCTTGGTGTTTGAAAATGTGCTGTAGAAATAAACCTGACTTGACTTGATTTTATAGGTCTATTTCTAAGTCCTACATGAGGAACTCAGTGGGTTGCATTCTGATGTTTGACATCTCCCAGCGCCAGAGCTTCAAGAATATACGGAACTGGCACAGAGAAGTAATGGACTACGTCAAGCCATTCACCATGGTCTTCATGCTGGTGGGTCACAAGAGTGACTTGCTGGTTCGCCGGCAGGTCAGAAGGGCCGAGGGTGAGGCACTGGCTAAGGAGCTGGACATGGCCGGCTACGTCGAAGTCTCATCCAAGGAGAACGTCAACGTTGGCTTGTCGTTTGAGAGTCTCGTCAGAGTGATATACAAAAGGTTAAACCAAGGAAAGATACCCTTGGACCAGGGCTGGCAAGGACTGACAATTGGACTACCTTTCTGGAAGGATGAGGAAATCATTCAGCAGAAGAGTTGTGCCTGATGGTTTTCTCAGCATCTATACAGGGTTGCCACCTCTCACGCATCTAGCGTGACGCTCACCCTTTCAAGAAATCTGACAGCAAATCTATATTATTCCATTATAAACTTAAAATTACCTGCATCAACAGCACTGGGGTGGTTTGCAAACCAAACCCTACGGACTATTTACAAGGTAGTAAAACTGTTACATACTTCAAAATGCATGTGCGTGCAGCATTGTTTCGACCTTCAAATCTCACGCCAGCCAGCTGAAAAAAGTTGGCAATCCTGTCTATGTATTTTATTTTGTTACTTTTATAGTTAATACTATTTTCGCTTTGGTCTGCATCATTTTGTATTCTGCCCAAAGTATTCCAGGAAAAAAAGTAGCTTAACTCTGCTTGGCTTACGTATCTGCACAAATTTCACTGATAATATGTTCCCAAATAGTTTTCAGTCATCTTCAAAAAGATTTAAAGAATTTACTCATCACAATACAATTGTTTCATTTTTAGCATCTGTTAAAACTCTATTTACCACTTAAGATTTCCTTTTCGAAAACGTTTGTAATACAATTGTGAGTGAGAAGCCGTCACAACATAATAACAATAAACTTGTTTGGCTAGATTTGGCTAAATGCCTGTGCAACAGGAACACATGTACTCATAGCAACTGACTGTTGGGTTAATAACGATCGTCAATAAAAACCGCAGTGAAATCGTAAATGAAAACCGCAGACAGAGCGACAAACAACCGGATCGCAGCTTGAGAACTCTAAATGCTTTTATTTGGATGAAGGAAAAGTACCATGATAAGCGGCGCGGTGGCGCTATTCCGTCTTCTATATTCCAATGTTGGAGGAAACAGACCGTGCGTGACCATGATGAGGATGACTGATTAGAATAGAGAGGGATGGATGGGTGGATGGGTGAAAGTGTTATTTATATTGGTGTATGTACAGTATCATATTTAGCAGTATATATATTAGGGGTGGAGCCGAACCCGAATACGGTATTCGGAAAGGCACAAATAATG